ATCATGGTTCCTAACCCTTGTTGCATAACATATATATTATGTATACTCGACACAATCTTCTTCCTGGTCGATGGAGAAATAGACATTTTCATCAGAGTTCTCTCTCCTTGTTGCATGATAGAGATATTGTGTATATTCTACATAATGTTTTTCTTCCTGGGAGGGGGGCAAAAAGTCGTTTTCATCAGAGTTTCTTCCCTTGTTGCATGACATATATATATATATATATATATATATATATATATATATATATATATATATATATATATCCTTACTCTGTCCTAGACATTGAGTTCTACCTGGATCCTTCCTCTTGGAAAATTTTTTTCTGAAAAGATACATGTATGGGAATTTTTAGATATATTTTTCATATGTATGTATATTTTCCACTAATATTATCTATCTATATATATATATATATATATTATGTATACTCTACATAATCTTTTTCTTTTTGGACGGTAGAAAAATAGTCATTTTCATCAGAGTTGCCTCCCCTTGTTGCATGATATAGATCTATGTATACTCTACGTAATCTATTTCTTTCTGATCGGTGGAGATATAGTCGTTTTCATCAGAAGATCTCTCCGCATGTTGCATGATATAGATATTATGTATACTCTATACAATCTTTTTCTTTGGTCGGTGAAGAAATGTTCGTTTTCTTCAGAGTTCCCTCCCCTTTTGGCATGATATATATATTTTGTATACTCTACATAATCTTTTCTTCCTGATCGGTGAAGAAATAGACATTTACACCAGAGTTCACTCCCCTTGTTGCATGACATAGATATTATATATACTCTACATAATCTTTTTCTTCCTGGTCGGTGGAGAAATTGTCATTTTCATCAGACTCCCCCCCCCTTGTTGCATGACATTAAAATTATATCATATTCTACATAGAGTTTCTCTTATTGGTCGATTTATTACTAGTCATTTAAAAAAAAAATGTCTGACACTTTTTGGTCGAAGTAGACGCAGTCGTTGTCGACAAAGAGGTTTTCTTTTTCTCTGATATAAAAATATCAATTTTGTTAAAACATTCTTTCTCCATTTCGTCAACCTAGGTATAGGTTATTCCGATGAATATCTTTTCGTTTTTTATAGGCAGGATCTTTTTTCGAAAAAAATATCTTCCGCTTCTTCGTCGACGGCAAAATCATATTTTTCGATACATTATCTTTCAACTGTCTCTGTAAATTTTCAAATAATCACTCTGGAAATGAAGCCGTTCCCTTTTTGTTGTACGCAGAATATAATAATCTTTATTACATATCTTCAGACTTAGAAATTATCGTTATGGACACGTCGTTTTGCTCTGAATGTGCAAGTGGTGTAATGGTTAACGGGGCGGTAAATCTGCCACATGAGTTCGCATTCTGGTTGAGTTAGTCACATTCACTTTCGCACAAATATACTTGGGGTAGATATAAATCGATTTCTTTTCGCTGTACGGATTAAATAGAGGCGCAGACTGGGCCTGTCTTTCTTAAAAACGACGAGAAGAACATTTCTGAGTTCAAATCCGTATATGACACATAAGTGAAATGTAAATAAGGTTGCAGCTTAAACCACCGGCTGGTTGTGTAGATGTTAAAGAAAAACAGATGGGCATACTCGGAAAGAAGAGACCATTTTCATTATTTACATTATTCGGACTATTGTCCTCATCTTTGTCGCCATATTTATTACAACGTTTCGGCCGTTGTAAGCTCCGGCAGGTGGTTGGAATGTCGAACTGAACCTATTATTTCGCTCATTGGGGTAGACTGTTCTAGTTCTACGTGCCATGTTTAATGGATGTCAATTATCAGTTATCTCCTGTTAATTTCCCTTTGAAAGTTCTCCACTGCTCTGAGGACACATGGCGCAGTGGATAAAGACGTTAGTTAGATCCAGTGACAGGACCAAAAGAGTGTAAGTTCAATACCCGGCTAAAGCAATGAAGAACTTTGGAATTATGGTTGATGAAAATAAGGTAAAAATTAGGTTCAAGTATAGAGCCCTGAGTGACTTCTGCATTCGTTAGAAATAATTATATTGGGAAAATCCTTGATGACACTAAGGAACATACTAGGTCGACGGATAGAGCCCCGTGTTACATATTCATTCGTTAGCAATAATGACATTGGGAAATTTTTTGATGATCATCAGGAACAAAGTAAATCCAAGGATTGATCCATGTGTGACCATTCCATGCATTGGAAATAATGACATCGGTAAGTTCCTTGAGGATGATAAGGAAAAATATGTTCAATGAAAGAGCCGTGATTGACTTCGGCAAACGATAAAAATAATGACATTGGTAACTTCCTTGAAGATATTCAGCAAGCTGGGTTGATCCTCGAGTGACTTCTGCATCCGTTTGAAGTTTTGACATTGGAAAGTTCCTTGGTGAAGATAAGGAACACACTAGATTCATGGATAGAGCCCTCGGTGTCTTCTGCATTCGAAATAATGATATTGGGAAGTTCCTTGCTTAAGATAAGGAACAAACTCTGGCATGGATAGAGCTCTGAGTGACTTCTGCATTAGTTGGAAATAATAATATTGGGTAGGTCCTTGATGAAGATAAGGAACCACCTAGGTCCGAGGATGCAACCCTGAGTGACCTCTGCTTTCGTTGGAAACAATGACATTGCGAAATTCCTTGATGAAGATAAGAAACAAACTGGGTCGAAGGATAGAGCCCTGTGTGACTTCTGAATTCGTTGTAAATAATGACATTGGGAAGTTTCTTGATGAATATAAGAACATGCTAGTTCCAAGGATAGAGACCACAGTGATTTCTTCATTAGTTGGCAATAATGACATTGGGAAGTTCATTGATGAAAATCAGGAAAAACTAGGTCCACGGATTGATCCCAGAATGACCTTTCCATTCGTTGGAAATAATGGCAATGGAATGTTCTTGATGATGTTAAGGAACAAACTAGGTTCAAGGATAGAGCCGTAATTGACGTCTGCATTCTTTGGATATAATGACATTGGGAAGTTCCTTGTTGAAGATTAGTATCAAAATATCCACGGAGAGTCCTCAGGGACTTCTGCATTCATTGAAAATGATGACATTGGAAAGTTACTTGTTGAATATAAAGAACAATCTAGGTCCAAGGATAGATCCGTGAGTGACCTTTGCATTCTTTGAAAATAATGACATTGGGAAGTTCGTTGTTGTATATAAGGAAGAAAGTATGTCCAAGGATATAGCCCTGACAGACTTCTGCAATCTACAGAAATAATGACATTGGGAAGTCCCTTGATTGTGATAAGGAACAAAATATGTCTAAGGATAGAGCTCTGAGTGACATCTACATTAGTTGGAAATAATGACATTGGGAAGTTTCTTGATGAAGATAAGGAACAAATTAGATCCCAGGATAAATCCCTGAGTGACGTCTGTATTTGTTGGGAATAATGGTATCGAGAAGTTCCTTTATGAAGATAAGGAACAAACTCGTTCCTAGGATAGAGTCCTGAGCGACCCCTGCCTTCTTTGTAAATAATGACATTGGGAAGTTCCTTGATGAAGTTAAGGAACAAACTGAAAGCAAGTAGAAAGCCCTGAGTGAACTCTGCATTCTTTGGAAAAAATGATATTGGAAAGTTCCTTGCTTAAGATAAGGAACATACTAGGTTCAAGGATAGAGCCCCACAGTGACTTCTGCATTCGATAGAAATACTTACATTGGGAAATTCCTTGTTGAAGATAAAGAAAAAACAAGATCTAAGGATAGAGCTCTGGGTGACATCTACATTCGTTGGAAATAATGATATTGGGAAATTCTTTGATGAAGATAAGGAACATACTATGTCCCAGGATAGATCCCTGAATGTTCTCTGCATTCGTTGGAAATAATGACTTTGGGAAGGTCCTTGATGAAAATAAATAACAAACTAGGTCCCAGCATAGATCCCAGAGTGACCTCTGCATTCGTCGAAATTTATGACCTTGGAAGGTACTTGCTGAATATAAGAATCAAACTAGGACCAAAAAATAGAGCAATATGTGACCTCTTTATTCTTTGGAATTACTGACTTCTGGATCGCCGTCGTCTATGAAGAAAAGGAACAATCACGTTGCACGTAAAGAGCCGTGAGGAATCTCTGCATTCGTTTTTTTTTTTTTTTTTTTTGCCTGCAGATTTTGTCAGTGGCATCCGAATTCTGTTGATGCGGAGTCCGTAGATACGATGTTAGTCTCTATATACAAAATATCTCTAACGTGTAGAATTTCGTTCAAATTTCCGACATTCATCCATTAATTTATCGTGGTTGATATGCCGCTAAACAAAATATACCGACTAACGTTTCTTAACTTCGGTGATCGTCCGGGAAACTGCGTTTCAACGTGATGTTCACCTAAACAGGTTACATTGCGGAGAGGACGTGTTAAGGGAACACAAAATAGACGTGTAGCCGTGCGATGTGTTTTTCCTGCCAAATTTCTTTTGTCTCTACAGCCAGACGATAAGATTATATGAAGAGCCAGTATTATTTATTATAATCTTAACAGCATCCGCTACTCCGAGGACATTGTGCTAATCGCAGAATGACAACTTAAATGACTATAAGTAATGGTAAATATCTGGGAAGTGATTTAACAGAGATTGCGAAATATGACACCTAATCCGAAGGTACATTGATGTAACAAACGCTGCCTTCCAGAAGCTAAACAAAGTACTGGGTAACAGGAAAAATCTTGTTAAGTAATATCAATCACAGACTGAGAAAATTGGAACGAAAGAAAAATGTTTCTCCTGAACGATGCTGAGAATTCCAGGGATGGAACTCATAAGCAACTAAGGAAAATGGAAACAGAAAAAAAAAAAAAACGGCTCCGGGACGAATGGATGTCACTGTAGGATATTTCACCGAACGGACATTTTCACCGATAACTTGCAAATGAGATTACTATTTCAAATGTTTACTTGCTTCTCGTTCGATTTCTGTTTTTAGTCGCCCTCCCCAACTTTCTTTGCCTTCATAACGCCAATATGTTACATTTTCTTCTTGATTCTCAACGATATAGGCGTAACCATCAAATAAATGTTTTCTTCCTCCTCTTGCTGCTGGTATGAATTTCATGGTCATAAAAGAAACAAATAAATTATTCAACTTAGGCAACACCCCTACTTAAAAAAAGTTTTAACAATTACATTGTAACCCGGATATAAGAGAGCCGGATATAAGAGAAACCCGGATATAAGAGAGATTTTCTCTGGTCCTAAATTAGAGCCTGTGTTAATGTATATAAAATAGACCAAACACGGATATAAGAGAAATCCGGATATAAGAGACTTCTTCTCCGGTCCCGACAACTCTCTTATATCCGGGTTACACTGTATTTACAAAAATAACTTTAAATTATCATAGATGATAATATACCCATGACAAAACTCTCCGTTGGGTGAAATGTCAGTTCGGCCAAATATCTGTCGGCACAATGTTTTTCGATGATATCTTTGTCGGCCATCTGTCCGGCCACGGAAAACAAAAACATCAGAGAGAGACCGCTGAAAACTCTTGGCCATATAATGAAGAATTCGAGCACGAAACATTTGACATTCATGGCATAGCGAAATCAAAAATTACAGGGTAAGACCATAGGTCACAGTGGGCTTGCAAGAAGAGATGACCAAACGGGAAATCGAGGGTTGGCAAGGAGACAAACGTTACTAAGAGAGGGTGTAAAATGTGACACTAAATCTGAGCGCGAAATATGCCTTTCAAAATCTAAGCAAGGTATTAAGAAAATTTCGTTAGAAACAAAGAAAAGCGCTAAACTGTTATATAATATTAATTCTCTAATATTGCAGTGAATGCTGGACAATCACCTCCAAGATGAAGAGAAATCTTGAAGCAATAGAAAATTGGCACTACAGAAGGATGCTGAGAATATAAAGGACGTAGCGCGTAAGCAACGAAGAAGTATTCTGAAAAATGGAAACAAAAAGATCATTTGTACTCAGAAACAGAAAGAGACAGCTGAAATTCCTTTAAAGCACACTGAGGAAAGAGGGCTTAGAGAATATGACATCCTCAGGACGTATCGAAGATAAAAGAGACATGGGCACGGCATGTCCTTGGAAATCGCAATCAGGTACCTTACTATCCTCAGAACAAGACTAAGTACAAAAAATAACCTGTAAGATGCTTCTAAAATCTACGTAAAACAAAGTTTTCCCGTAAAACAATCGCTCCAGATATTTTAGTCGTTGTTGAAGTTTTGAAGTTGTTGACCACAAATATAATAAACCTACCCGCATTTTATTGTCGATTATTTATGACATTTTTACTCGACTTATACACGAGTGTATGAGGCAGCAGAATGGCCTGCACTAAAAGAGGAAATGTTTAGTTCAGTATGAAACATTTTATTGTTTTACGGTGTGTGGGGGGGATTTGTTGTTTAAGAAGAAGACTGCAAAAGGTAATTAGTCGCCACAGGTAGGCCGGTGTACAAGTTCGTAAGATAAGCAAGCAGGTGTCGCACTGGTCTGCATTCCGAAAAGAGAAAAAATCGATGGGGAATGAGAGAAGAAGCCAGTTGCAAAAACGGACGAATACAATATTATGAATGAACGGATTCGTGCCTGCAGAAAACTGTAATATGCGTGCATCCGTAAATAAGGTCAGTGCAAAACTTTCTTTTTCATTGAGATTCAATCACATCTCTCACACTCTCTCTATTTCTCTCGTTCTCATCTAACCTCTCTCTCTCGCTCTCTCTTTCTCTCTGCATCTCTCTCTATCTATCTATCTATCTATCTATCTATCTATCTATCTATCTATCTATCTGTGTGTATATATATATATATATATATATATATATATATACACACAAAACTTTCTTTTATTGAGATTCACACTCTCGTTCTCATCTACGCTCTCTCTCTCTCTCTTTCTCTCTCCATCTCTCTCTATCTATCTATCTGTCTATATATATACATATATATATATACACACAAAACTTTTTTTCATTGAGATTAATCTCATCTCTCACACTCTCTCTATTTCTTTCGTTCTCATCTATCCCCTCTCTCTCTCAGTCTCTCATTCTCTCTGCATCTATCTATCTATCTATCTATCTATCTATCTATCCATCTATCTATCTATCTATCTATCTATCTATCTATATATATATATATATATATATAAACTTTCTTTTTCATTGAGATTCAATTACATATCTCACACTCTCTCTATTACTCTCGTTCTCATCTATGCTCTCTCTCGCTCTCTCATTCTCTCTCCATCTCTATCTCTCCCCCCCTCTCTCTCTATATATATATATATATATATATATATATATATATAATTATATATATATAAACACCCGTACACACGTACACAAGGGACGCTGCGAAATTGTTGCTTCCTATTTATTTCTTCGAAAACTACAACAGACAGAGGGAGTCCAATAACAGTGCTGGATAGTGCTTGTTTTCAGCAACAAAACAGTATTTTTTTCCACATCGTCACCACCATTAGCCAGGCACTTTCGACAGAGACAAACAACTCTGTATACAGGTCTCGTAAATAACAGCACCAGCGGAGGCGACCCAGTTTTTGACAGCAACGATGACGGCGTTGTTTTCACTAAAATTCCATCCTTCATCGGCCTGAGACTACCATAAATCCGGTAGAACTTCTACGCGCTGTTTTTATTACACTTGATCATGGCCCTCCACAATTTCCTACCCCTAGTGGCTCTTCGTTTGTCCATTTGCCAAGCCTCCGTTCCGCCATCGAAACTGGTCAAATAGGAGACCCACTGGTTTCCCTTGACCCTCTTCCTCTCGATGTACCCTGTGAGTTTGAAATTCTCCAAGCCGTCTTTCTTGCCTGAATATAAAGAGGCTAACACTCCCATTTTTAGGTTTTAGTTTTTCGTGCAGGGATAGAGAAAATCTTTTTTGGGTGGCCAAATATCTTTTTCGACAAATTGATAGTTTGGTTTCTTTGTGGGTTTTTTTGTTTGTTTAACGGGTATATCAACTCCTCACGAGTCATTTAATGCTGAACATTTATTTTCTTATGAGCTTTGGTCATTCTTTGTCCAAATGTCTTTTTATATTTTTATGCTTTTACCCAGCTTTGGTTTGTTTTACAGTATAACAGCCCAAATCGACCCCCTGTGTCCTAGAAATTTCAACAGTCTCTTTCTCATTCGGAGTTTAAGAGTCCATTTTGTTTTCATCTTCTTTAAGTCTTCATCGATGCTTATGAGCTCCGTTCATTGCTTATTTCTTCGAAGATTTCCTATTTTCTATTACCTTCTTTAGCTTTTGGAATTGCTAATCGAGCAACGGAAGAAAACCATTCCTCGCGAAACGAATCAGACCTTTTTCTATCGCAGAAACCGACCCTATAGTCGAAGAGCGCCGTTACCCATTGATCAACGGGAGAGAGTCATGATACCCCAAGGCTACAATATCTACTTAACAGATGCATATATTTTTGAATCTATTTGCCCAAAACTTAAACAAAGTAATTTTAAAATGAATTATTTTAACTCACTACTGTTTCTTGTTTATCCGAGATCTTTAGTGAATGGACTTCTCGCTCTAAGCCGGTTGACAGTGATTTCATTGTTAAAGAAATGAATAGACATGGCTGCCAAATCAAACATATGTACCCACTAAAATGACTTTTACTGAATAAAACCATTATTTACACATATGATTTTATTGTAGGTTTCGCTGGTGATGCGTTGACCTTGCCTTTTTTTATGTGTAATTTTATTAGGGGTTTAAAAAAACTATCATCAGTCAAAACGAAAATATATAAATTACAAACAAATTATATACAAGAAACAGCACAATAAGCTTTTTTGGTTTGGTTTGATTTGTTTTACAGCATATCAACCTCAACGGGTTATTTAATACCGACAAGATTTTTAGGATAGGCTCGTATGAATAGAATATGTATTTTTTGTAAGAAATCAGTTTGGTTTGATTTTTTTTTTAAGTATTTCACCACTAGCAAGGCTGGAAGCCACGAGCACGCAAGGGGTTATAGAGGATTTGGAGCGAGAGTAGATAGGAATGATAGAGGAAAGGATGAGGAGAAGGATAGTGGATAGATCAAGGCAACTGGAGATGTCGATTTTCATTACATTTGAAAAGTTGGAGATTATAGCTCTCAGGGAAACAGGAATAGGGAAGGGAGTTCCACAGGCGAGAGGTACGAGATATGAAGCTATTGGAGTAGAAGAGACGACTACATTTAACAGTTTCAACAGTGAAGGGTTGAGAACTGGATGCGAGCCTCGTAGGGCGTTTGAACTCATGAAATCTGGGAACCAGCGAATGCAGCTCATCGGAGCAATTGCCATGAAAGTATTTGTAAAAAAGACAGAGAGAAGCGACGATGCCAGATCAGGGCCAATTATATTGCATAACCATCTCTGGATCTTATCAAGAACCCCAAGGCAAACCGTAGGGGCTCCAGACCATATATGGCAGTAATACTCCATGCAAGGGCGAATGATTGATTTATATTTTTGAAGGGTCGATTCCGGGGAGAAAAATTTCCTGCCGCGGCAAAAGGAGCCAATTTTGTTTTCCGACATATCAACCTCAATGAGTTATTTAATGCCGACAAGATTTTTAGGATACGTTTGTATGAATAGAATATGTATTTTGTTTTACGGCATATCAACCTCAATGGGTTAATTAATGCCTACAAGATTTTTATTGCTGGTAATATTTTTTTTCAAATGTATTGTTGGTAAATTTTTTTCTTCAAAAATCTATTTGCTAATAATTTTTCTTCAAAAAATGTATCGCTTGTAATTTTTTTTTTCAAAAACATAGAGGTGGTAATAATTTTTTTCTTCAAAAACTTATTGCTGGCAATAACTTTTTTTTTGCAAAGCACTTCTGGTATTAAAACCCATTTTTACACTTTCACAATGTCCTGACCCCAATTTGGGGGTTAACCCTCTGCCCATAGCTGCGACCCCAACAGGTGCCATCACCACGGGCCGGAGTGGACCTGGGAACACCAGCAATCAAGAGGGGGTTCAACGCTCCTCAAAACATCCCGATTAGAGGCCTTGCTGTTGAACACAGTTTCTCGTCTTACCCAGGACGCGGGTGTAGTTTACCCAAGACGGAGCACAATAAGCATAGGAAAAAAAAAAGCTATAAAATGCTTTACTTTACATTTAAGAGAAATTATGGTATATTCAAAAGTACATATACGTATACAGAGATGAAACTTTTGTGTTTTTCTGTTCTGTTTAATCGGAGAACCGACTGGGACGTCTGAGTCCTTTAGCCAACGAAGAAGAAAAAGAAAATTTTATTTTTGTTTCAATTGGCGACAAAACGTCTGTTTCGGAGCATAATGGGAGTATTCTGAGTTTACTTAACTCGTTTTTATAATCTATTTCTTTTTTTTTTACTTTCATTATTGTTAATTATCATTTTTATTCATATTTGTATTACTTTTAATTTTTTTTTTTATAATTAAATTTTTTTTTGTGTTTAATACTCCTACATAGTTGCGTACTAAGGGTCAGAAGTTATTTAGTGATTTATTTCTTGCTATCATTACAGTTTATTCACGGAAATCCTCCTTTACGTCCAGCCTATACAGGTAATTCTTATTAGCAGAGAGTAACACTTCCATTTTAGGTTTCGATTTTCGTTTCATTTTAAAGGAAGAACAAAGAAAATCTTTTTGAAGCGCCAAATATGTTCTTCGACAAATTAACAATTTGGTTTCTTTGTGTTTTTTTTTTATTTGTTTCTTTAACGGCATATCAACTTCCCATGGGTCATTTAATGCCGGAAGTATAATTTCTTATGAGCTTTGTTTTTTTTGTTTTTTTTTTTTACAAAAATATATTGCTAATAATTTTTTCCAAATTTCTTTTCATATTTTTATGCTTTTACCCCGGTTTGATTTGTTTTACGGCATATCAACCCAATCGAGCCCAGCAAACAACAGCAATTAAGAGGTGGTTCCACGCTCATCAAAAACTCCCGTTCAGAGGTCTTGCTACCGGATGTAGTTTATCGTCATACACAGGACGAAGAGGTTAATGGTTGGCGACAGGCTTGAAAACATTCTTAAATATTGAACAAACATGAAACTCTCTTTTTAGAACTGAGATTTAATTGCAACAAAAATTCCAATATCCCTTGATGAAATTTCTAAAATGAACATTCTCGTATCAGTTGGTCACTAGAAATAAATGAAGATATTGTATATAGAAAAACAATACAACTTTATAATTGTTACCTAATTACCACACGTTATTATTGTTACCTAATTACCACACGTTATTATTGTTACCTAATTACCACACGTTATTATTGTTACCTAATAATAAATAAATAATAATAAAGTGTTTCTCTCTATATTCCTGAGATGAGGTATAATGTACATTATTTACATTATTCGGACTATTGTCCTCATCTTTGTCGCCATATTTATCACAACGCTTCGGCCATTGTACGCTCCGGCCTTCTTCAAGTGATTGGAATGTCGAACTGAACCCTTTATTTCGCTCACTGGGGTAGACTGTTGTGGTTCCACGTGCCATGTTTAATGGATGTCAGTTATCAGTTATCTCCTGTTAATTCCCCTCTGAATGTTCTCCACTGCCTTAACCGGGTATTGAACTCACACTCTTTTGGGTCGTGTCACCGGATCTAACACGGAGTGGCAGAAACTGTTAGCGTCCCAGCTATGGACAAATAGTTAACCCACAAACCAGTCCGCGTCCTGGGTAAGATGATAAACTACATCCAACAGCAAGGCCTCTGATCGAGAGGTTTTGAGGAGCGTGGAACTACCTCTTAATTGCTGGTGTTCCCAGATCAACCTTACCCGAGGTGGTAACACCTGTAAGGATTCCAGCTATGGCCAAATAGTTAGCCCGCAAACTAGTACGCATTCTGGGTAAGACGATAAACTACATCCGACAGCAAGGCTTCTGATCAGGAGGTTTTGACGAGCGTAGAACCACCTCTTAATTGCTGGTATTCCCAGATTCACCCTGGCACGGGGTCGTAGCACTTGTTAGGGTCCCAGCTATGGGCAAATAGTTAAACACTAAACTGTGGTCAAAACGTGTAAAAATATGTTTTTTATACCAGCAAAACATTTTTTGTAAAAAACTATTACCAGCAATAAATTTTTAAGAAAAATTATTACCAGC